GGAGGAGGAGGAGGAGGAGGAGAAGGAAAAGGGATCTGCAGGGATGGGGAGGAGGCGATGGCATCCAGCGCGCTGTAATTTCCAATGGGCTATTTCCAACTGGATCGTGTATCGTGTTTCGGTCGTGTCTGAGCAGGAGCAGGAAGGGGAGGAGGACCCAGGTATGCCCGCGTCGTGAAGCATCTCGATGGAAAGTTTTGGCTGGTTTCCGATTATGGGAAGCCTCGCCAGGACCGTGAAACAACGACACGGGATGAACAACCGGCCCTGGAGAAAGGGTCGGGCCTTCTTTGGTCCCGTGTTGAAGAAATCAAGATTTCGGATCTCTCTCTCTCTCTCTTTCTTTCTTTCTCTCTCTCTCTCTTTTTGTTCTCTCTCTCTCTCTCTCGGGAGAGAGAGAGAGAGAGAGAGAGAGAGAGAGAGAAAGGAGGGGAGGGGAACAGGAGCAGGAGGAGGATGAGACGAGTCGAGTACGGCCACCCGCCCGAAATCCCCCCTCAGAAGTGCCCCCTTCCACTGCCGGCAGCGCCCCCTTTGGAACTACGACCGCCCGGTGGGCCTCTGCCACTCATTGCGGGGCCCCGTTTTGTAGCGGATCCACATGCGGCGAGGACGTGTCCAGCGATAGCCCCGTGGTCAGTGCTGCACAAGTGTAAGTTCTGGCCATACACTGCGGTCGTTTCGACCACGAACCCTGTGCCGGAAACGAATCGCCCCTACCTGCTGCACAATTTGGAATCTCGAGTCACAGAATTCGAGGAAGCCTCGGGCGAGGGTCGTCCTTTGAGAACGAGAGGCCTCCATCCTGGCAGTTGTTGCAAGCTGTTAAGATTAGCGTGTACGGCGCTAACGCGAGAGCCCCATATTGAAAACCACTGGCCCTCCATCCTTACATTTTGCAAGCACTTGAGACGAATGAGCTCAGGCGAGAATCCCATCTTAAAAACGACCGGCTCTCCATCCCTGCACCTGTTGCGAGTTTTCAGACGAACTGTGCGTGGCGACAGGGCGAAAGCCTTCCATTGAAAACGACCAGTCTTCCATCCGTGTGACCTCTTGAGCCTTCAAGCTTCAGGACCGTAAATCGCAGGGAAGACTCGAGCGAATCGCTCGGCCCAGTCTACGGTCGGGGAGGGAAGCAGGAGGATAAGGATGATGAGGAGGATGAGTTACATGAGAGGGATGAGGGAGTGGACATTCTGGAAGGTTCGAGGGCTCTCAGGGGCCTCCTGGGGGCGGCCAGGGTTCTTTTCGGGTTTCCAGGGGTCCCTGTGGGTTTCCAGGGGGCTCCTTTGGCTTCTTGAAGGTCCAGGAGAACGGGGGAGAGATGAGGAAGGAGCGAGGGAGGGCGGAGGGAGGAGGCAGGGAGAGGGGAGGCGGCATGAGGGAGGACGGAGAGTAAACAGGGAGGGATGGAGGAGTGAGGGAGGATGGATGAATGAGGAGGAGAAGAACGGTTTTGAGGAAGGAAGGAAGGAAACATGGAGGAGTGAGTGAGTGAGGGAGGGAAGGAGGGAGGGCGGGAGGGAGGGAGGGAGGGAGGATGGGGGAGGGATGACTGGGGGACGGAGGTAGCATCGGTTTAGTGGGAGGAAGGAGCGAGGAGGGAGTGATGGAGGCCGGGAAGGAGGTCGGACGAGGGAGCATGGGAGGAGAGCGGGTGGAGGGATAAGCGAGGGATGATACAGGAGGGAGTAGGGAGCAGGAGGAGGAGGAGGAGGATGAGGATGAGGAGGAGGAGGAGGAGGAGGAGGAGGAGGAGAAGGAGGGGGGGGAGGAGGAGGAGAGAGGAGGGACGCGGAGGAGGATGAGGGCTTGGAGGAGGAAGTCGTTCTCCAGTATTGGCGATCCTTGGGTCCCTGCGCACGGAGCCCCAGGGTTAGAGCGGATGGCGTGGCTCGCGAGGGGCGGTGAGCGTGGATCCTTCGATGAGCACGCCCGTCCGTCTTCCTCGTCGCCGCCCTCGTCCTCGTCCTCTTTGTCCTCGTCGTTGTCGTCCTGCTGACCTGTCCGTCCTCGGAAGGGGAGACAAAGTTCCCTTCTCTCTCTCCCTCTCTCACTCCTGCCCTCCCTCCACTCCCCTCACTCCTGCCCGCCTCTCCACTCCTGCCCCCCCTCCCCTCCCCTCCCTCACTTCTGCCCTCCCTCCCCTCACTCCTGCCCACTGTCAGTCGGCGGGCCTCCAAGCTTCCCCCGAGGGATGCTCGTGACGAGGGCGATGCGGCCCCCGTGTCGAGAGCGTTGCAAGGTGCCCTGTTCCTTTCGAGGACCCCTCGGAGTTCACAAGATCGGCGGTTTAGTCATCGAGAGGTGGTAGAGCATATCAAAATTGTTGACGCTTCGCGTATCCCCACCAGCCCATCCAGAAACGATGCTCAGGGGAGTTGAGGTGATCAGGGAAGTCGGGGAGCATGCAGAATAACAAAGGGCGGGGGAAGCTGTCACAGACCCCGAGAGGGGGAGGATGGAAGAGGAGTCGTCGTCGTCGTCGTCGTCGGAGGAGGAGGAGGAGGAGGGGGAAGAGGAGGAGGAGGAGGAGGAGGAGGAGGACGGAGAAGGAGGAAGAATCGGAGGAGGAGGAGGAGGAGGGGAAGGAGCTTCTTGGGGGTCTTTTGAGGGCCTCTTGGAGGGCTTTTTGGGCGCCTTGGGGCATCTTGGGCGCCTCTTGGGACCCTCTTGAGGCGCTCTGGGGAGCCTTCGGGGCGCTTTTGGGGCCATCTTGGAGGGAGTCGATCAAACAAGAGGGGGGGTTTAATTAGCGTCCCCCCTCGGAAGCCCCTAAAATCGCCTCTTGGACCCCTCTTGGAACGCTCTTGGAGTGCTCTTGGGCGCTCTTGGGGCCGTCTTGGGGCTCTTTTGGGGCTCTCTTGGGGCCCTCTTGGGCCATCTTGGAGCCATCTCCAGGCCTCGGATGGCCATCGGAAGCGAAAAGGCGAGAAAGCAAAAATCATTGATTTTCCTTAGGTTTTGGGACGATTTTGGCCTCTTCGGGGCCTCCTTGGGGAGCTGTTTGGCCACTTGGAGTTATCTTGGGGCCGTCTTTGGGCTTCTTGGAACCATCTTAGGAGCCATCGTGAGCGATCTTGCGCTATCTTGAGCCATCTTGGAGCTCATCTTGGGTTCTCTGAGGCGCTCTTGGAGCCGTCTTGGGCCATCTTGGACGCTCTAACTACCCGCGGCCCCCCCCGTCCAGGTCCAGGGGAGGGGGTAGGGGGAGGGGTAAACCCCTCCCCAAGGGGGAAGAGGGAGGGGTGGAAGAGGATCTGCTCTAGACCACCTACGCCCAGAGGGCTGGTGGGACTCCACGTGCTGTATTCGTGTCGGTACTCTCCTGCCCTCTCTCCCGGGCTGATCCGGCATCCGCAACCAGGACTTTTGCGTGATCCACACGGAGTTCAGGTCATAACCCGACTCTCCGGCGGCCGTTCGGGGCGATTCCGGCACCCTTGTAACGCTCTCGACCTGGCGCAGCTGCTGGACGCCACCCTGGGCCTCGAAAGCTTTCGCATGCACTGCGAAAGCTCCTACCCCTGAGCCCATCCCCCCCTTAACGGTGCCTCCCTCCCTCCCTCCCTTCCTTTCCTTCGGTAGCAAATCATGGGAGCCTTGTATCCCCTCGTAATTCCGTCTTCAGAGTGCATCCATGTCGAATAGCGTTTGGTAGGTAGTCCATGAGACATCGCCGGGTTGGCGTCGAAGAGCGTCGACTCGCAAGAGCCAAGAAGGTGGTATGGGAGGCTCCCATGAACTGCCGCAGAACTTTCCTCCCATCCCGCCTCCGCTCTGCCGAAGCCAGGTGCCTCTGGGTGCACCAGCGGCCAGGCCTGCAGAAGGCCGCAGCGCGGCCCCGCGTCGGGCAACCGTCGTCGTCGTCGTCGTCGTCGTCGTCGTCGTCGTCGTCGTCGTCGTCGTCGTCGTCGTCGTCGTCGTCGTCGTCTTCGTGGTCGTCGTCGTCGTCGTCTCCCTCTCTTCTCTCCTCTTTCCCCTCCCTCCTCCTCTTCCTCCCCGCCGACCCCTCGCCCGGATCGGGGAGGAGGAGGAGGAGGAGGAGGAGGAAGAGGAGGAGGGGCGAGATCCAGGTCTACGGTTGCATGGCGACACATGTAGCCGACATCCAATACCTCATGTCGCATAGTATGTTTGAAATACGTGCAGGAGGGATGAAGATGCTAACCAAGATTAGGAACGATTTTTGCAGCGGCACGACGGCTACAAGGCGCAGATCGAGCGGATGGGCTTCGCGCAGCGCGCGCCGACCAGCGATGTCATTCTTTGCGTGCGCAGCACCCAGTTTGCAAGGGTAGACCGACCAAGACCTCAGCAAACTACAACAACGCACCCGAAGAAGACCAATCGAGTCATCACTGCCCATTCGACTTGCCGGGCAGACGCCCACAGGGAGCCGCCACTACCAAACTGCCCACCTGTGTTATTCTCCCCACCGAACGACTTGACCTGAGACGCGCACATGCTGGCGCAGGCCCGCCAGAAAGCCCGCCTCCCCCATGGATTACGTGCCACTGGCATCCCGCCATCGACTTCCCTTGCCGCAGCCATGGGTCGCGTGCCCTGTCGACGGCGCGCTTGCCCAGTGGCGCGCTCAGGCATACTACTACAACCTGGACACCACGGAAGCCACATGGGGCGACCCAGTCAATGCGCTGATGCGTCCAGGCTGGGTGCCCCACGCCTGCCTGGCGGCAGAGGGTTCCAGCCGCGGCAGTGGCGGGCGCCTCGCGGGGTTTTCAATGTGCAGAGGGAACAGCCCCCATGTCTTCCAGCTGGGCAAGTGTAGCCGGCCACTCTGGCGCGAGTGGCGGCCCCCGCGCCGCCCGCCACCGCCAGAGAGCCCAGACCTAACTCGAGCTCGGTGGCCCCCCCCAGGCGGCCTCGAGGTCAATGCGGTGGGAGCCGCGCGCCCGCTTGCAGGTGGGGGGTTCCTTCTTTGACCTGGTGGGCGCCTGTGGAGGGTTCCTGTGAGCAGAGGGAGCGGCCCCTGGGCCTTCCCAGTTTGGCGAGCGTGACCGCGGGCCACCACCGCCACGCCGCGCGTTGCCGAGCTAAGCCCGCCGCTTCTTCCTTCACTTGCCAGCCTTTCGTATCGCGGCTCCCTCTGCCAACAGCTCGCCTCATCCTTTTCGCCTTGACTGCCCGCGGCCTATCTCGCTGCCTCGCCGCCAGGGCCAGCGCTGCTCCTATCAGCCACCGCCATCGGCACCTTTTCTCTCTCGTTCTGGCATCTGCGTCCTCCCACCACCTCTGCAAAGAAGGGCACCTCAGCAGAGGGGGGCCCTGGGCGCTCTCCAGGGCGCTGGCCCCACGAGGCCAGTTCACCCGAAGGGGAGAGGTCCCGTCTCAGCCACAAGAACACGCGGCCCCAGGTGCCCCTGCCCCCTTTCTGGAGGGCGGTGTGGGTGTCTATCCTTTGGGAAGCGGGCTTCCGATTTGGCTGCATTACTTCTGCTGCTGCTGCTGCCCTTCACCTTCCATATCCTGCGTCTCACCTGCTGGCCCAGGATGAGCCAGTCTCATGTAACTTTCGGGCTCCCCTGCTTTTTCTGCTGCCTCGTGCTCTGTGGCGCTTGGGCGAAACTATGTGCAAATTGTTGACGTGAGTCAGACGTGCGGCACTCGCCGTTCGTCAAGGTAGCATTCCGCTTCTGGGTCGCGTTTATTGTTGGCCCACTTTCGTCCCCCAGAGGCTGCGCACTGTTTGTCGCCGTCGACAGGAAAAGCGAATATCCACACTTAAATGCCCGTTCTCCTTTTGTTCTCTTCTTCCCAACCATGAGCTTGCTTGTGCAACCCTTTCCGAGCAATCAAGCGCGAATGGTGCGGATGATGACGATGCTGTTGCTGATGATGATGCTGATTTGGAGGACGGTGGTGAAGTGGATGATCATGGAGACTACGACGATGATGCTGATGATGATGAGGTTGTTCATGTCAGCGCGGAGGACGATGATGACGTTGTTGATGGCGATGGTGACGATGATGACGATGGTGATGATGATGCTGCTGCTGATGATGATGATGATACTGATGATGGGGATGATGATGATGATGATGATGATGATGATGATGATGATGCTGATGATGATGATGATGATGATGATGATGATGATGATGATGATGATGATGATGATGATGATGATGCTGATGATGATGATGATGATGCTGCTGCTGATGATGATGATGATTATTGTGATGATGATGATGGTGATGCTGATGGTGATGATGCTGCTGCTGCTGATGATGATGATGATGATGATGATTCTGGTGATGACGCTGATGACGGTGATGATGCTGATGATGCTGATGATGCTGATGATGATGATGATGATGATGATGATGATGACGATGCTGTTGCTGATGATGATGCTGATTTGGAGGACGGTGGTGAAGTGGATGATCATGGAGACTACGACGATGATGCTGATGATGATGAGGTTGTTCATGTCAGCGCGGAGGACGATGATGACGTTGTTGATGGCGATGGTGACGATGATGACGATGGTGATGATGATGCTGCTGCTGATGATGATGATGATACTGATGATGGGGATGATGATGATGATGATGATGATGATGATGATGATGATGATGATGATGATGATGATGATGATGATGATGATGATGATGCTGATGATGATGATGATGATGATGGTGATGCTGATGATGATGATGATGATGCTGCTGATGATGATGATGATTATTGTGATGATGATGATGGTGATGCTGATGGTGATGATGCTGCTGCTGATGATGATGATGATGATGATTCTGGTGATGACGCTGATGACGGTGATGATGCTGATGATGCTGATGATGCTGATGATGATGATGATGATGATGATGATGATGATGATGATGATGATGATGATGACGATGATGATGATGCTGCTGCTGATGATGATGATGATGATGATGCTGGTGATGGTGATGATGATGCTGTTGCTCCAGGCGGTGGTGCAGCTGATGATGGGGATAATGGTGATGACAGTGCTGGTGATGGTGCTGTTGCTGCTGCTGATGATGTTGATGATGCTGTTGTTGATGATGATGATCATGATGATGATGATGCTGATGATGATGATGATGATGATGATGATGATGATGATGATGATGATGATGATGATGATGGTGGTGGTGGTGGTCATGATGCCGGCGATGATGTGACGATGATGGTGACGACGACGATGCTGTTGTTGATGAAGACGACGAGGATGATGGTGGTGGTTCTAGTGGTGGTGATGTTGATGCCTGTGTTGGTGGTGGGGTGATGACAAGGATGGGGAGGAGTAGAACAACAAGAAACATAAAAAGGAGGAGGATGAGGAGGGGGAGGAGGACAACAACGAGGAGGAGGAGGATGAAGAGGAGGAGGAGGAGGAGGAGGGAGGAGGAGGAGGAGGGAGGAGGGAGGAGGAGGAGAGTAGGGAGGAGGGAGGAGGGAGGATGGGGAGGAGGTAGGAAGGAGGGAGGAGGGAGGAGGGAGGAGGGAGGAGGGAGGGAGGAGGGAGGAGGGAGGAGTGGAGGAGGGGATGGAGGGGAGGAGGAGGAGGAGGTGGAGGAGGAGGAGGAGGGAGGAGGAGGGAGAGGGGAAGGAGAGGAGGAGAGAGGAGGAGGAGGAGGGAGGAGGAGGGGAGGAGGGAGGAGGGGAGGAGGAGGGAGGAGGAGGATAGAGGAGGAGAGGAGGAGGAGGAGGAGGAGAGGAGGAGGAGGAGGAGGAGGATGAGGGGAGGAGGCGGAGGAGGGGGAGAGGAGAGGAGGAGGAGGGAGGAGGAGGGAGGAGGAGGAGGAGGAGGAGGAGGGGAGGGAGGAGAGGGAGGAGGAGGAGAGGAGAAGGAGGAGGAGGGAGGAGGAGGAGGAGGAAGGAGGAGGAGGAGGAGGAGGAAGGAGGATGAGGATGAGATTGAGGAGGAGGAGGATGGGAGGAGGAGGAGGAGGAGGAGGAGGAGGAGGAGGAGGAGGAGGAGGAGGAGGAGTGAGGAGGAGGAGGAAGGGGAGGAGGGAGAGGAGGAGAGGAGGAGGTGGAGGAGGAGGAGGAGGAGGAGGAGGAGGAGGAGGAGGAGAGGAGGGGAGTAGGGGAGGAGGGAGGAGAGGAGGAGGAGGAGGAGGAGAGGAGGGGAAGAGGAGGAGGAGGAGAGGGGAGGAGGAGAGAGGAGGAGGAGGAGGAGGAGGAGGAGGAGAGGAGGAGGAGGAGGAGGAGGAGGAGGAGGAGGAGGAGGAGGAGGAGGAGGAGGAGTAGGAAGAGGGAGTAGGAGGAGAGAGGAGGGAGGAGGCGGAGGGAGGAGGGCGGATTTGGAGCGTGTGTGGAGGTCTCGGTGTTTTGCGGAGTCAGCCCAGACAACCGCTCGACATTGAGACAGCTTGCTCATTCTTTCGGATGGAGCAGCCGTCACATATCTAGAGCAAAATCCAGCATTTTGTATTCGGCACCACGTGGTATTTTCCGCAACCTGCAGAGGTGACAGCGCCTCATGCAACTGATCACATGTCCCCAGTGGGGCCCTCTCATGGCCGTGGGGGTGGGGAACACGGAGGAACACGAGGAGCAGGTTGGCAACGTCATCGCCCTCTCACCTCAGACATCAGTTTTTTTTCCCCACATGTTTTGTGGGGTTCGGGTTTTCTTGCCTGCCGCGTCACACCCGCGTTTCCCCTTCTCCTCCCCACCCTTTTGCTTCTCCGTCTCGCTCGCACTTACAAAACCGCCGTGGCAGACGTGGCACTTCTTCGTCACCACAGGGGGTTTGCTGAGGGTGGTCTCCCTGTCCGTTTCGGGCTCGCAAAGCGTGGCAGGCGTGGCACTTCCTCGACACCACAAGGGGTGTGCTGGGGTGGTCTCCCTATCCGTTTCGGGCTCGTAAAGCGTGGCAGGCGTGGCACTTCCTGCCACGTCGCACCCGCGTCTCCTCCCTCACTCCTCCCTCTTCACCTCCCCCGTCTCCTCCTCCTCTTCCTTCCTTTCACCCACGCGCAACACATGCATGGCACATCCATGACACACGCGTCACCATACTGGACACCCACATGAGACACACGTCCAGATACAGCCGCACACGCATCATACACACAACCCGCATTCCACACAACACATGCGCGCAAGATTCGCAATGCGTGGAAAGCGTGGCACTTTCTCGACACCATAGGGGGTGCGCAGGGGGTGGTCCCTCACCGTGGTCTCTATCCGTCTCAGGGTCGCGTGGCGTGGTAGGCGTGGCACTGTCTCGACACCATAGCGGGTGCGCTCTGGGTGGTCCTTCACCGTGGTCTCTCTCCGTCTCAGGGTTGCAAGGCGTGGCAGGCGTGGCACTTTCTCGACACCATTGGGGGTGCGCAGGGGGTGGTCCCTCACCGTGGTCTCTCTCCGTCTCACGGTCGCAAGGCGTGGCAGGCGGGCCTTTCTCAGATTTTCTCGACACCATAGGGGGTGCGCAGGGGGTGGTCCCTCACCGTGGTCCCTATCCGTCTCAGGGTCGCGTGGCGTGGCAGGCGTGGCACTCTCTCGACACCATAGAAGGTGCGCAGGGGGTGGTCCCTCACCGTGGTCTCTATCCGTCTCAGGGTCGCGTGGCCTGGCAGGCGTGGCACTTTCTCGAAACCATAGAGGGTGCGCAGGGGGTGGACTCTCACCGTGGTCTCTATCCGTCTCACGGTCGCAAGGCGTGGCAGGCGTGGCATTTTTACAACACCATAGGGGGTGCGCACGGGGTGGTCCCTTATCGTGGTCTTTAGCCGTCTGAGGGTCGCGTGGCGTGGCAGGCGTGGCACTTTCTCGACACCATTGGGGGTGCGCAGGGGGTGGTCCCTCACCGTGGTCTCTATCCGTCTCAGGGTCGCGGGCGTGGCAGGCGTGGCACTGTCTCGACACCATAGAGGGTGCGCAGGGGTGGTCCCTCACCGTGGTCTCTATCCGTCTCAGGGTCGCGTGGCCTGGCAGGCGTGGCACTTTCTCGACACCATTGGGGGTGCGCAGGGGGTGGTCCCTCACCGTGGTCTCTCTCCGTCTCACGGTCGCAAGGCGTGGCAGGCGTGGCATTTTTACAACACCATAGGGGGTGCGCACGGGGTGGTCCCTTATCGTGGTCTTTTGCCGTCTGAGGGTCGCGTGGCGTGGCAGGCGTGGCACTTTCTCGACACCATTGGGGGTGCGCAGCGTGTGGTCCCTCACCGTGGTCTCTCTCCGTCTCAGGGTTGCAAGGCGTGGCAGGCGTGGCACTTACTCCACGCCATAGGGGGTGCGCAGCGGGTGGTCCCTCACCGTGGTCTCTATCCGTCTCAGGGTCGCGGGGCGTGGCAGGCGTGGCACTTTCTCGACACCATAGAGGGTGCGCAGGGGGGTGGGGTCCCTCACCGCGGTCTCTATCCGTCTCAGATTCGCGGGGCGTGGCAGGGGCGGCATTTTCTCCACGCCACATTTGGTGCGCAACGGGTGGTTCCTCACCGTGGTCTCTATCCGTCTCAGGGTCGCGTGGCGTGGCAGGCGTGGCACTTTCTCCACGCCACAGGGGAAGTGTGAGGGGTGGTCCCTCACCGCGGTCTCTATCCGTCTCAGGATCGCGTGGCGTGGCAGGCGTGGCACCTTCTCAGTTGCACAGGGGTTGCGCAGATAGGTGGTCCCTCACGCTGAATTTCGAATACGTCGGCTCAAACAGTTTGAGGAAACTATGTTTTGCACGCTGGCGCATCGGGCGTGAATTGCCTCAGCCATGGCGCCCAAACGCGCCATCGCGGCGCTGCCGCCACCGTGTTTGAAGCTGAAAAATCGCGATGGCGTAGACGGGCGTCGAGATGAATGTGGAAGACTTGCGCAATTGCGTTGACGAGCGCGGGAAAACAACATGCTAATCAATGTGTTCCATGCGTGTCAGCGTCAGCTCCATAATTGGTGGCCCGCGACGCTCTACGTCAGGTGCAATGAGCTGCCATGTCACGTTGGTGCAACGAGCAACATGTTCGCAAGTTCCACGTCAACTTACCATCGCGCAAGAAACATGACAAGTATGTGGGGTTCCTCAGTAGAGTAATTTGAGTAATTGTTGTGTTTATACAGGATACGCCCCCCCCCCGCCCTGCCCCATGGCCAGCTCTTCGTCCCAAGCTGTTTTTGAATGGTCCTGGGCTCTCCAGCGAGAGTTCCAGAACCTTCCGGTCGTGCTCTTTGACGACGCGAGCATGTCTGGGTCGGCAGCGTGCTTGCCCTGCTCACAGCAGGGTGCGGCCTCGAGAGCGTATCGGGAGGGTCGCAACGCCCGACAGGAGGCCGCACGGCCCCCTGCTGCGGCAGGCCGCCCGCGGGGGGCTGGAGCGGCAGGTCCCGAGCCGGGCCGCTCTCCGTGGAGGCCCCGCGGAGGTCTCTGGAGGCCCCCCGGACGGGTCTCCGCGCTGACGGGGGGTCGGGGGTAGCAGGGGTCAGCCCCCTGAGGTCCCCAGAGGTCCCTGGAGGCTTCTGGGGACTTCGACGGGCCTCCAGGAGGCTTCTGGGGCTTAGGATCCGGGGCGGCCGCAGAACGTGTGCCACCTCCCAGTCCCGCGCCCTCGAGCCCGACCCCCCCCCTTCAGCATCCTGGTATCCTGGTCCTCTTCCTCCTCCTCCTTCTCCTCCTCCTCCTCCTCCTCCTCCTCCTCCTCCTCCTCCTCCTCCTCCTCCTCCTCCTCCTCCCCCTCCCCCCAGCTTTAGGCCACAAGGTTGGCATTCCCCTCTAGCTGACACTTGTTTGCGAGCCGCGTGCCCAGGCATTTCGACGTCGCAGCGCGGCAGAGGCGAGCCGCACGCGCGTTCGGGCGAGACCTGGACACGGTGTGGCGAAGCATCCGCATGCAACAAAGGGGGGGGAGGCGAGGGGGCGGCCGTGGAGGGGGAGCCGGGCGCGGGGGCACTCTCACGCAGCGGGGCGGCGGCGAGAGCGCGGGGGCGGCTCGGCTGAAGGGACGCCCCTGACATGGTCGCGTCGTGAAAAGATCAGGACGGGAGGTTTATCGTTTCGGCCTCAGGGGACCCCTGGCGGGTTTCGGGACCGTCCAGAGACGACCCAAGATGGAAGACTGGTCCCCGAGGAAGGGTCGGAATTCAAGTGACCGTGTTGAGCAACATCATGGCACCACATGCCTGGGTGGGGCCGATTCCCCTGTCTGCCCTCCGCTGCCCCGGGTTTGGGAGCTGCTAATCGGCCAGCTGGGCTTGGCGACAGGGCCCCGGCCGTTTCGGGTTTGGCCTGGCCTGGGTCAGTGTGTCCCCGACCCAGGTCCCAGAGGTTCCCTTAAGGCTTGACCATTCTTTCCCGGTCGACTTGCGGGGATCAGAGCAGATAAGTCGAGGTGAATCCAGATAGGGCGAATTAACAGAATCCCGAGAAATCGAGGTCGGTTCAGAGATCTCCCGGTACCATTGGAACAAGTGGCGGAAGCTCCAGTGCGAGTCGAGGGACAGTTTAAGTCATGAAGCCCTTACAACGTTGGAGGTCTCGGAGGTCTCCAGAGGTCCCCCAGAGTCGAGGGAAGAAAAAGCATGACTACGACCAAGACGTCCAGGCATCCGGTTGATGCCGATCTTTGTCACGGGTCATGCCGGCCGCTGCCGGCTCGCAGCGATGATCCACGACTCGACGACGACCAAGACGGAGGATCGGCACTTTCGGGCCCCCCCGCCCCTGCCCCGTCGTGGCCGTGGTCGTTGGTCGCCGCGGCCCCAGAAGTCCCGATCTCTTTCCCGGGGGAAGCTCCTCCTCCCAGCTCTGCTTCTGGCAGTCCCGGGGGCCCGAGAGCGGCCCCTGGGAGGAATACCGAGGAAGCGCGGCTGAACAAACCATATTGTCGGATGTCAGAGTTCGTCGTCGTCGTCGTCGTCGTCGTCGTCGCCGTCGTCGTCGTCGTCCCTTCGGCGGTGCGGGGGACCGCGCGCGGAGCGGCGTGGTGGTGCCAGAGTGCCGCCCACCCCCGCGGCGTGGGCACTGCTCCACCTCCGCCTCCGCCCCATCGATCCGCCTCGATCCTCGATCCTCGATCCTCGATCCCCCTCCGCCTCCCCCTCCTCAATCCTCTCCTCTCCTCCTCCTCCTCCTCCTTCTCCTCCTCCTCCTCCTCCTCCTCCTCCTCCTCCTCCTCCTCCTCCTCCTCCTCCTCCGGGACGAGGGCACCGCGTGGTCGGACACGCAGCTGATGGTGCACGAGTTCAGCACGGTGGAGGACGGCTCCGCGGGGGAGGTTCGGCGGTGCGCCGAGGGAGGAGGCTCGTCTTTTTTGACGTTTTGGTCGGTGTTTCGAGGATTTCGGGCCTCGGGGTGCTTTCCAGCATCTGCGCCTCGCCGAGAGCGGTCCGAGGGTGCACGGAGCGTCCCGAACGGCAGCCAGAGGCCCGAGTTGTGACCCGAATAATAATAATAATAAGAATAATAATACTAATAATAATAATAATACTAATACTATTAAGAAGAAGAAGAAGCATGATAATAATAAGAAGAATAATAAGAATAATAAGAAGAATAAGAAGAAGAAACATAATAATAATAATAAGAAGAATAACAATAATAATAATACAACGAATAATAATACTATTAATAATAATAAGAAGAACCATAATAATAATAATAATAAGAATAATAAGAAGAATAATACGAATAACACTAATAATAATAAGAAGAAGAAGAATAATCATAATACTCGTAATACTAATAATAGAACTAATAATAATACTACTAATAATACTAATAGTAATACTAATAATACTATTACGAATAATAATAATACTAATGATAATAAGAAGAATATAAAAATAAGAAGAATAATAATAATAAGAAGAATAATAAGAATTATTATAAGAATAATAAGAAGACACATAAGAATAATAATAAGAACAATAAGAATAATAAGAAGAATAAGAAGAATAATAATAAGAATAAGAAGAATAAGAAGAATAATAAGAATAATATTAATCATAATAATAATAAGAAGAAGAATAAGCTCGGCGGCGCGCCGAGGAGGGAAGCGAGCGGGGGCAGGCCTTCTCAGAAGGTGGGCGGGCTTCTCAGAGGCCCTCCGGCCCTCTGAGAGGCCGCCCGTGTTTTTTCGCGGGAGGCTCCGGCCGCTTCTCGGAAGGCAGGCGCTCCTCCGAGCTGTCTGAGGAGGCCCACACCCGCTGCCTTCCCTTGCTCGCTCCGCCTCTCCTCCCTCCCTCCCTTCCTGTCTCCTCCTCTCCTCCCTCCCTCCATTCTCCTCTTCCTCCTCCTGCTCGCCCCCAGGGATACTTGTTCACAGAACCCAAGCGGCGTGGTTGCCACACCTCGCGGTGCGTCTCCACATATCGATCTGCCCGGTGCAGTGGTTTTGCATGCCGCGGACGCTCGTTCCAGGGTTTCAGTGTATGAGGTTTCCTGCTCCGTCCCTGTTCCTTCTAGAACCTGTCGCTTCCCCAGACTTTCAGGTAGGGTGAGCTGGGCGTTTCGCATATCACCGTTTATGATCTTGAAGCTTGAAACTTGCAACAGTAACACGAATGGAGGGGGGATGGTTTTCAAGATGGGGGTCTCGCTTCAGCACCGCGCACGTTCGTCTCAAAGCCTGCAGCTGTCACGAGGATAAAGGGCGGTCCTTTTCCAGAGTGGGGTTCTCGCCTCAGCGGCGCGCGCACTCGTTTTCAGTTTTTGCAGCACGTGCGAGGATGGTGACACTGCCGCCTGAGACTTCCCTGATTTGAGCGTGCAGAGGCTTGATCAGATGCGCGACTGCACGGATGGAGGGCGGTTCCTCTTTGAACTGGGACTGTCGCTCTAGGCTTCCTTCAAGGGGGGTCTCTTCCAGGCTATCTTGGAGGCCTGGGGGGTCTGGGGACGATGTTTTGGAGGGTTCTCCCACGGGGGAGGTCTGAAATGGCTTGTCTTGGAGGGTCCAGACCCCCTCCCTTTTATTACGAAATCTGGAGTACCCAGACGCGACTGGTTGCACGGCAGGGGGGTCCTTTTCAGCACGGGAGTTGCTGGACCCATCGTTCCATTATCTCATCCTAGCTTTCCGAGCTTCTTACAACTCGCCAGAAGAATGCAAGACAGTTCCTTTTCAAAACGGGGCTCCCGCCTGAGTAGCAGGCCCGCAGGCGTGCTTGTCTTTCAGCAGTGAGGGGCGCTTCCTGTGGGGAAGAGGAAGGCGTGTCGGAACTCATGGGACTCGGGACGGGAGAGTGTATATTGCAGCATCGTTCTGCCCGTTGGGTTTACTCTGGTTTTGGAGGCCGCTGGGGGGTTTGAACTGGCTGGGACCCCACAAAATCGGACAGGAGGTGGGATGAGGCCAAATCCACTCAAAATCGGACCTCAGACCGCTGCCAGGATCAACATGGTGTAGTTTTTCACCCCGGATCCGTATGGACTCGGGGCCCGAACACGGCCCACGGGGACAGGAAAGGGTCAACATAATTTGTCGAGCCCAATACCTCGAACCTGGCCACCCCTTCCTGCGCGCTGGAACCAGAGCTGGGCCACCTCAGACCCCCAGCCGACTCCAACTCGGGTCCCCATTGGGGCTCGGCTTCTGTCCGCCCCTGGAGGTGTCGCCTCTGCTGGGGTCGGCCGAAAGCTCGTTGGGCGGCCATTGGGCTTTCGGCGTCGTCGGTCCCGCTCCGGCGCCGCTCGGCCAGCGCGCCAGGGGCTGGGGCCCCCATCATCGGAGCCATCAGAGCCCTCGTCCTCGTCCTCCTCCTCCTCCTCCCCCTCCTCCTCTCCTCCTCCTCCTCCTCCTCCTCCTCCTCCTCCTCCTCCTCCTCCTCCTCCTCCTCCTCCTCCTCCTCCTCCTCCTCCTCCCCTGGGCTTGGAGGCCTGCCTGACCGCAGTGGAGGTGCAGCAACGTCCCAGGCCGCTCCTTCAGGGCAGGGCGCCATCGCTTCGGCCGCCCCCAACCCCCGCAGGGTCAGGAGGTGCGCGGGGGAGCTCCGCGGGCGCGGTGGGAGCGTCGGGGAGGTCGGAGTGTAAGGAAAACAGCAGGAAAACAGGAGGAGGAGGAGGAGGAGGAGGAGGAGGAGGAGGAGGAGGAGGAGGAGGAGGAGGAGGAGGAGGAGGAGGAGGAGGAGGAGGAGGAGGAGGGGGAGGGGGGAGGAGGAGGAGGAGGAGGAGGAGGAGGAGGAGGAGGAGGAGGAGGAGGAGGAGGAGGAGGAGGAGGAGGAGGAGGAGGAGTGAGGAGGAGGACAGCAGGCCCTTCTCGACGCCCCCTGGGGGGCCCGAGGACAGGCGATGGCAAACATGGATCAAGGGGGCGTGGATAAGCGGCGGGTCTCGTTTCCGTAGGAAATCGCGGATTTCCGCCGCCGAACGAGGCGGCACCGGCCGCATTTTGGGGAGGGCACCTCCCCCGATCCATGGATTTGGCCACCGCGCACCAAATCCTTGGATCGCTAATCCATGCTTGCGCGTCCCCGATCGAAGTCCTGGTCAGAATGCACCCCACAAGAGGTCCATGGAGTAGCAGTATGTATATCTTTTTGTCCCCCCACTTTCGCCGCCTCCAGCGCCGGCCCTTGCGAGCATCGTGCGTCAGGTGAGCAGGAATCCAGCGCTGAGGCAAGGATTCCGTGCGGTCCTTCGTAAGTTCTCGCTGATGCCATGAGCTACCACCGCAGCTCCCCGCCATCCATCCGTCGGCAGCATCTGGTTGCCCTTTACTCCAAAACGAAGGGCACACAGTAAGAGGAAATGACAAGGATCAGCAACAGCAAGTTGTTGTTGCATCTGCTGTGGGTGTTGTTGCTGCTGTTGCTGTTGCTGTTGCTGTTGCTGTTGCTGTTGCTGTTGTTGTTGTTGTTGTTGTTGTTGTTGTTGTTGTTGTTGTGGTTGTGGTTGTGGTTGTGGTTGTGGTTGTGGTTGTGGTTGTGGTTGTTGTTGTTGTTGTTGTTGTTGTTGTTGTTGTTGTTGTTGTTGTTGTTGTTGTTGTTGTTGTGGTTGTGGTTGTGGTTGTGGTTGTGGTTATGGTTGTGGTTGTGGTTGTGGTTGTTGTTGTTGTTGGTGGTGGTGTTGGTGGTGGTGTTGGTGTTGGTGTTGATGTTGATGTCGTTGTTGAACATTATTTCTTCTTAAGAATAATTATTGTTGGGACCCCTGGTGCGCGGCCCCCCCGCCGCGCCTAGGCCGCAGCCTCATTTTTATCATTTTCGTGAGGAAGTCTCAGGCAAAACGATGTGTACCAGATCCGGTTGTGTTGTTACGATCGGTTTTCCCTTGCAAAAAATAAGCTAAAGTGGACATTTCTTGTTCTAACATACCCAAGCTTCAAGAATCCCTTGCAAAAAATAAGGTAAAGTGGACATTCGCGCGCGCAAGACGAAATCCTTCCAAAACCTTAGTTTTCGTAGCGATTTTAACATAAAAACATCAAAAAACCAATGGTTTTTCAAAAAAAAATGTCAACATTTCATCCCGCGCGCTCTTGCGGATTCGTAGGAAACCCAACACTTTTTAATCATTTCTGTCAAACGGGCTTTTGCGAGCAACTTTTTCGAACTTCTGCAACAACGGTTGCGCACCTGCCAGGGCCATCATCCCTGTCAAATAATACCATGCGGGACACATTCGTTTTTTCTTCGCGCGCGCACGCCGTCGTCGTCGGCCGCGGGGCCCTGAATAGTAGCCACGGTCGTCCGCATGCCACGAAGTGAAGTGTCCGAACGTCATAGGGCGGGAAGCTGGGTGTGGGTGGTGGCGAAGAGTCGTTTGGAAATTTGGTAGAGCTTGAACCGGCCCCCCCACAAAGTGGGGGTATTGCCCGCCTCCTATGAAAACCCTGGCACTGGTGAGAACGGTGTGTCCCCACGTGCTAGTAATTGTTGTTGTTGTTGTTGTTGTTGTTGTTGTTGTTGCTGAACTTTCCTTTCTGAAGAATAATTGCTGTTGATCCCCCCCCGTCCGGTGCACATTGTATTCTTTCGATTGAAGTGCCCCTCTCGTGGCTCGCACTCTTTCTTTTATCAAAGAAAGTCTTGAGGCTCAAACTATGTCGTTGGCCCCCGGTTTACAACAACAGCGGCTCCCGCCTGGTATTTTCTCCTAATTTATTGAGGAATCGCGCTCTCGCTAGGGACTTCCTGATCATTTATCACCAAATCGCGGCTCCCGCTGGATATTTCTTGACAATTTAGTGCAGAATCGCGTTCTCGCTTGGGACTTCCTCGCAACTTACCACCGAACCGTTTCGCTTTATATTTCCTCACAATTCATTCAGATGCCGGTCCTCGACACTCAGGAATCGCGCTCCCGCTACATATTTCCTGGCGGTTCAAGCAGGACTCACGCTTCAACGACCCGCCCGCTGGACTCGCCTGTCGGGGCTTGCCCGCCCGACCGGCCTGTTAATGACTGCAGTCGCCGCTCGCTGCCCTTCGCCCGCTTTCGATGCCCCTCGCTGTCCGCATTGGTTCCGCGGTCGCCTTCGCTCGCTGCCCTTCGTGGGCCGTTGCTGCCCTCAGTGGCATCGTCGCTGCCCTTTGTGGCCCCGCATTATATGCCCTTCGTGGCCCCCGCTCGCACGCGCCCGCCGTGGCCCCATACGCATGCCCTTCGTAGCCCCGCTGTCGCCCTTCGTGGCCCCCTCGCTGCCCTTCGTGGCCCCTTTGCTGCCCTCAGTGGCCCCGCTGTCGCCTCCGTGTCCCCCGCTCGCTCGCGCCCGTCGTGGCCCCATCTGCATGCCCTTCGTGGTCCCGCTGTCGCCCTGCGTGGCCCCCTCGCTGCCCTTCGTGGCCCCTTTGCTGCCCTCAGTGGCCCCGCTGTTGCCCTTTGTGGCCCCGTATACGAATGCCCTCCGTGTCCCCCGCTCGCTCGCGCCCGTCGTGGCCCCATATGCATGCCCTTCGTGGTCCCGCTGTCGCCCTTCGTGGCCGCCTCGCTGCCCTACGTGGCCCCCGTGCTGCCCTCAGCGGCCCCGTCGCTGTCCTCTGTGGCCTCAGATTTTATGCCCTTCGTGGCCCACGCTGGCTTTTCTCGCGATTTACTTAGGAATCGCGCTATCGCTCGAGACCTCCTCGCGATTCATGCAGGACCCACGCTTCAGCAACCCGCCTGCTCGAGCTGGTCGCCTGGGCCCGCCTTCCCGACCTGCCCGCTATGGGTAAGCCCACCCGATCTGCCCGTCGGGTTCTACTATTCGTTTTCTGCTCCTTGCACCCCTCGGGCCAGTTTCTCTCGTGCTCCATTCTTCTCCCTCCCCCTTCCACCCGTCCTCTCTTCCCTTGTTTTAGGGGCTGCACTAAATGCACTTGACAGGTAAGGAAGATCTATCCCCAAGGGGGTACGATCGAAGACGACGAGGGCGGGTACCGAGGGTTTGGTAAACACGTATTGATTGGCACGCGAGCAGATAGGAGCGAACAGTCTGAAACTGATTGCTGTTGTTGTTGTTGTTGTTGCTGTTACGGCTGCTGTTGTTGTTGATGCTGTTGTCGACGACGACGACGACGACGATGATGATGATGATGCTGATGCTTTTGATGCTAATTATAGTGGTTGTGGTGATGATGATGATGATGATGATGATGATGCTGATGATGATGATGATGATGGTGATGATGATGATGATGATGATGATGATGGTGATGATGATGATGATGATGATGATGATGATGGCTCCTTCTGAATCTTCCCATCCGCCTGGCCATGCCTATGCCTACGTGAAGCCCTTGGGCTGCCGAATGATGGAGTTCAGTCGAGCATAGCGATGGAGATGATGATGCTGTTGTTAGAAGGCTTGGTGCTGCGGGGGAGGAGGGGTGGTATTGATCACGTCGATGAGAAGGAGGCTGAGTGAGGACGAGGAAGAGGAGGATACTAATTAGGATGATGCTGTTGTTGACGATGAGGATGATGGTGATGATGGTGAGGTTGATGACGACGATTATGATGATGATGATGATGACGATGATGATGATGATGATGATGATGATGATGATGATGCTGATGATGATGATGATAAGGATGCTGATGCTGATGCTGATGCTGATGAGGATGATGATGATGATGATGTTGATGAGGATGCGGATTAAGGTCATATTTATGATGCGGATGGTGATGATGTTGCTGCTGCTGCTGCTGCTGCTGCTGCTGATGATGATGATGATGATGATGATGATGATGATGATGATGATGGTGATGAGGATGAGGAGGAGGAAGAGGAGGCGGAACAGAACAAGGAGGAGGAGGAGGAGGAGGCGGCGCGGGGAGGGAGGAGGCAAAGGGTCCTCTTCTTCTCTATCTTCCTTCTTGCTTTGAAGAAACAGTGTCCGAGACGTACTCAACCCCTTTTCCACACGAGGTGAATGAATCTTTGTATATCCGCTCCATTCAAAGGAACACATCGCCAGGTATTCACGATCAGGGCTGACCTCATCTCCGCCGTGCCAGCTATGAGCGCACGAAAGTAGCTACAGTAGCGCAGGTCGTAGCCTCCCAGGGAGCTGCGAGGTCTCGGCTGGATCCGCGTGGCCCCCGACTCCGCTGTGCCTCCCAGGAACCCACGATAGTGGAGACAGTTGCACAATTCGCAGCCACACTGGAAGCTGCGAGGTCTCAAACGTTCCGTTTACTCCCCGACTCCGCCATGCCTCCCAGGAGCCCACAAAAATTGCTACAGTTGCAAAGTTCACAGCGACCCAGGGAGCAGCGAGGTCTCAAACGATCTGCTTACTCCCCGACTCCGCCATGCCTCCCAGGAGCCCACGAAAGTGGCGAAAGTTGCACAGTTCAGCCACCCAGAGAGCTGCGAGGTCTCACATGATCCGTTTACTCCCCGAGTCCGCCGTGCCTCCCAGGAGCCTGCGCCACTCAGAATCAGCGATGTCTCAAATGATCCGTTTACTCCCCGACTCAGCCTTGTCTCCCAGGAGCCCACGAAAGTGGCGACAGTTGCAAAGTTTGCAGCCACCCAGAGAGCAGCGAGGTCTCAAATTATCTGTTTACTTCCCGACTCCGCCATTTGCACAGTCCGCAGCCACCGAGAGAGCAGCGCAGGAAGAGGCAGGTGGAGGGGGGAGGATGAGAAGGAGCGGGTACCACGATGCTCTATTCAAAACGAGAATCCAACACACAGGAGGGTGGGGAAACACTTTGGGAACTCCGCGCGGATTTCTTGGATCGGCGCTCGGCCCCCCTTGGCGGCTCCTCTGGTGCCGCCCCTGGCGCGTTCCGCGCGCCAGGGAGGGGTGTGCAGCGCCGATTTCAGAAATCCGTGCGGACCTCCGAAAGTTCATGTTTATGCAGTGATGTTGCTCGCCCCATCTTTGTTGTTCACCTTCCCTTCCCTCCTTTTTTCCACTTCCTGGTGGCCGGCGGGCACTATTGACCGCAGCGTCACGGGTGCCGGATTGTCTGGCCTAGTGCTGTGGTCACGAGTCTGATGCACAGGTTCGGCAATACATTTTCGATGGTTGTGGTCAACCATCACAACCCGCTTGTAAATCTCGCAGCGCAGCACATTTCAAGCATCAGCCTCGGACGAACTCGTTTTAGCAGGCCACCAGTCCAATCCAATCCCTCCGTCTTCTCGTCTTGCTCCTCCGCCTCCTTCTCCCCCTCTCCCTCCCCTTCCCCCGCCGACTCGCGAGGATTTCTGGTGCATGTTTAACTACTCCTACCCTCCCTCCAAGCTCGACAGCGTCGACTACTCGCTGTTCAAACATGGCGGGCCCAGGGATGAGAAGAAAGAGGAGGAGGATGGATCAGAGGAGTAAGAGAAACATGACGAATGTGAATATTCTCGGAGTGAGATCAGGAGAGGAGTATGTATGTCTGTATGTATGTATGGATGGATGGATGTACGCATTTATGTATGAATGTATGTATGTATGTATACATGCATGCATCCATGGATGGATGTCTGTCTGTCAGTCGGTCTGTCTGTATTAATGCATGTACGTGCGTATGCATGCATGCATGCATGCATGCAAGGCTGTATGCATGTATGTATGTATACACGCATCAGCGTATTTATGTATGTATGTATGTACACATGCATGTATGTATGTATCTATGTCTGTATGCATATTTGTATGTATGTATGTATGTATGTATGTTTGCATGTATGTATGTGTGCATGCATGTATGTATGCATGCATGCACAGTTTGTATGTCTGTATGCATGCATGCATGCAAGGTCTATTCTGATGTATTCATCCATGTATGCATGCATGTATGCATGTATGCATGTATTCATGTATTCATTATTTCATGTGTATATGTATGCATCCATGTATGCATGTGTGTATGTATACATGTAGGTATGCACACATGCATGTATGACTGCATGCATGCATGAGTGCACGCATGCATGTATTTATGTATGTACCTAATTACGTGTTAAGACCTGTATGCATGTACGTATGCATGCATGCATGTATACATGCATGTATGTATGCATGTATGGATGTACGTGTGCATGTGTTTATGCAGATCTTTACGTATGCATGCATGGATGCATGTACACATGTATGCATGCATGCACGCATGCACATACGTGTGTGTAGGTGTGTACGTATGTGTGCATGCATGTTTGAGTGTACTTATACACACATACGTACGTGAATATTGGTATGCCTAGGTATGAATGCATGCATGCACGTACGGATGTATGTATGCATGTGTGTAGGTAGGCAGGAAGGCAGACAGGTAGGTATGTAAGGGTGTATGTGTATACGTATGTACGCATGCATGCATGCATGCATGTATGCATGTGTATGTGTATGTGTATGCGTATGTGCATGTGCATGTGTATGTGTATGTGTATGCGTACGTGTACGTGCACGTGTATGTGTGTGCGTATGTGTATGTGTATGTGTAGGTGTAGGTGTATGTGTATGTATAGGTATGCATGCATGTAGATATGCATGCATGCATGCATGCATGCATGTATGCATGCATGTATGTATGTATGTATGTGTGTGTATGTAGGTATGTATATATGTATGTATGCATGCATGTAAGTATGTATGCATGCATGTATGTATGTATACATGTATATGTATGTATGCGTGTATGTATGTACGTATGTATGTACGTGTGTATGGAGGAGGAGGATGCGGGGGAGGCCTTGGAGGAGGAGGAGGAGGAGATGGATATGGAGGAAGTGGAAGAGGAAGATCAGTGTAAAACCGACAGTCATCATCGATGTTGGAATTAACCCTCCCTCCAAGCTTCCTCCTAGCTCCCTCCCAGAACATTGTTCTCGGGATTTCAGCGGCACCTATCAATCTGACTGCTGCGTCTTGACGATCCAGAATCGTGCCAGAACGCTCTGTTGGGACTTCAGGACCGCGAAGTAACATAATTGTTGCACCCGCATAATCCTGAATTCTTCCAAAACGCCATTTCTTGTACGTTGACCATGCGAATTGTTAATTGCTAATTTGTTATTGTAAATATATGCGCGGCGCTGAGGCAAGAGCCACAGTTCGAAAAGGAACCGCCATCAATCCGTGAAGCTCTTGCAAATTTCGAAAACGAATGTGCGTGGCGCTACGGCGAGAGCCACATTTCGAAAACGACCCGCCCTCAACCTGTAAGGCTCATGCATTTTTATACCGAAAGTGCGTGGCGCTAAGGCGAGAGCCACATTTTGAAAATGACCCGCCCTCAATCCGTGAAGCTCTTGCGAATGTTGAAATCGAATGTCCGCGGCGCTAAGGCGAGAGCCACATTTTGAAAACGACCCGCCCTTAATCTGTGAAACTGCTGCCACTTTTTAAGCTTCAGAGTCATACATGGTGGGAAGTTGCAGGCGAAACGCCCGGCCCGCCCTAAAAACTGGCCTCGGGGTGCGACAGGGACAGATTATGGAGAGGAAATGGAGGGGGAGGGATGGGGATGGAAGGGATGGATGGAGGGGCGGGATGGATGGATGGCGGGAAGGGGGAGGGAGGAGGGAGGAGGAAGGAGGGATGAGGGATGAGGAGGAGGGAGGAGGAGGGCGGAGGGAGGAGGAGGAGGGAGGAGAAGGGAGGAGGGAGGAGGGCGACGGAGGAGGAGGAGGAGGGAGGAGGGAGGAGGGAGGAGGAAGGAGGAGGGGGGGAGGGAGGGAGGAGGGAGGGAGGGAAGGAGGGAAAAGGGAGGAGGGATGTAGGGAGGGAGGGGTCAGGGAGGGAGGGAGGGAGGGAGGGAGGGAGGGTGGGTGGGGGGGAGGGAGGACAGGGGGAGGGGGGGAGGGGAGGGGAGGGCGGGAGGGCGGGATGGCGGGAGGGAGGAGGGAGGGGCGGGGAGGGGGAGGGGGGAGGGGGAGGGGGAGGGGGAGGGGGCGGACGCGCACGACCGTGTAAGGTACGACCGAATTCGAACGAACAACAAAACAAAGGAGTTGCCAGGCGCCCTAGGATCCGAAACGGAGGTCCTCATCCTCCTCGGCTCCTTGGGTTCGCCTGGCCTCGGCCTGCGCGCCGAGGGTCTCCGCCTCGTCCTTCGCGAGGCCCATCAGCGCGAGTCCTCGCGCAAGGTCGGCAGCTGGGCCCTCGCGGTTGACCGCCCGAGACCTCCCCATCTGCCTCGGGGGCCCCTGAAGGCCTTGGGCCCAGGCCGAGAAAAAGGGGGCCCACTCTCCCCTCGTCTCTAAGGTGCCCCCCCCAGATATGTCATCGTGAGCCCCTTCGGGTTCCGACGGGCAGGGTCGATTCCAGCGCGAAACTTCGTCAGGTAGAACGTCCGCCCACTCGACGACGTCGACGACGGACGACGCAGCCCACGAACATTCCCCCGTTTCGTGCGGGTGTGGGCCATGGCTCCGCAGGCCGTGCAACAGAGCATAGTGTCATGAAAGGTGCAACGGTCAGCCTCATACGCATCTCCTTGCTCTAAAGAGTGACCGTTCTGGAGCCATGCTCCAGGGGTCGGGGGCTCCTCTGGAGGCTGTTCGCTCTACGGGGGCCCCGCAGGGGGCCCTCGCACCATCCCCCTCGCCAGTCGCACCCTGCTCACCTGGCGGCTCGACGGAGCCCGCAGCACTTGGCGCGCCAGGTCCAGGGCCCACAGGGACGCGGGGAAGCCCAGGGGCAGGATCAAGCAGGACGTAGCTCAGCCATTCCAAGCCTTGGTGGCCATCCTTGGCAAGCTCTCTGCGCTCCGCCTGCTGACTCGCACAGTGCACGCCGAGCCTACGGACAAACTCCGCGAGCCCAACGACGAGAGGGCGATCGCGCTGCTGCATGCGGAATGGCTCAGCTCCTTCCTTGGCGGGACGGTCAGCCTCCGAATTCCCATAGTGTTGCAACTCAGCGATTTTGCCCTCGCGGACGTCTTGGACAGAGGTGTGAGCTGGAATCTTGTGCACACTCACCCCCTCCAGGCGATCGGCTATCTCGGCCCGCCAGTGGGCCCTGGCCGACCTCTCGCCCGCTGCCCTCTTGAGGTTTCGGAGGCAGCCGACGGTGGCCGCGCAGTCCACATAGAGGGAAACATGAGGGTCAAAAACAGCACACCTGGACAACATAAGCACAGCAAAGTCCTCCCCATCACGCGCCAGCTGCTCTGGCGCTTCACCTATCGGAACAGCTCCAAAGAGAGCCGCGAGGGCCCTCCCCTGCGGGTCTAGAACAACCGCCGACCAGCCCGCCGTCCGAAGCCCCGCGAAGCCCCCCTCGAACCCCAAGCCGTCCGTGAAAACATGGGCCCCCTCGGGCACGACAAGGGGGCCGTCCTGAGGTCACTGCCAGTGGCGGGTGCACGGGTCTGGGGGGTCTCTTCGGGGCATTCGGATCCAGGACTTCGGGCTGGGAAAAAGACACCTACTGAAGAGCTCCTTGACTTCGTCCGAACGATGACCAATCGCATGAGCAGCATAGCCGACCCAGGGATCCAGGTTCTCGCGGCGCCACGCTTCGTGAGCACTGCACTGGAAACTACGGTGGTGCAGACTACCCTTGGCCTCTCCACAAGGTGGGAGGCCTCGGGGCTGTGCTCGAACACTCGATGCTGGCACCAACATGTAGTAGCGATCAGGGCCGAGAGAGTAGCCTTATGGGCCTTAGACCAGACCTCAGAGCCTTTCCTACAACGCAACTGGTGGAGGGTTTCCCAAGCAACTTGGCCACCCCACTCTTGGAAATCCTGCTGCTCTTCTCTCTCGACCGCTCGCCTGACTGAATTGCGCGCCAGCAGCGCAACAAACTTAGGAGAGAACCTGTCGATAGACCACTCTTGTTGGAGGTCGTCAATGAGGGCAAGCTTCGAGAAATCAAGTTTCCAATGAATGCGATCCAAGTGCAGGAAAAGGGCTGCCACGGGTTGCCGAACACGGCCCCAGGGGGCTTTGCTGCTCTGGACCTCCAAAGCATCTTGCACGCATGATTCCACAACTGGTAACGAAATCGAGCGGTTCCACCGCGCACTCACACACTCCTTCACGGCTGGGCAGGTTACCGCAACCAGTGGGTCACGACACCGAAGCCTGGGAAAGGACAGGCAACGAAAACCCACAGAGGTCCCCGGGAGGAGGTGTCCCCGGGAGCGGCAAGCTTGGGCCCTCTGCCGGTGGAGAGTGGAGGGCGGAATCCCCAAGATGCGGGAGCCCCAAGACGCTTTCGCCAGGGCCCCCACCCTGTACACACGGCTGTGGTTTTCGCTGTGGCCAAGCTGTCGCAGAGCGGCTCCAGTCCGCAGCGCCGCGGCCACCCTCGCGGCCTGCGTGCCTACTCGCCTGA